ATGAGGGGTATAAGTACAGAAGGAGTTAACAAAGTGAAATCATAGATTGTTGAGCAGACAAAGGTGGGAAATTAAACAACAGAAGTTTACCACAATGAAACAGGATGTGTCTAAAGCCACAGTTACAACTAATGTGGTGGTTAGTACTCCCTCAATCTGTGACATCAACACACTCCCATTAACCATTTATACTGGCACTTGAGGTGTGCTGGACTCACTGCAGTCTTCTAAATAAAACAACAAAACAAAAACCACTGGATCAGTGCTGGTATGGGAATAGATGTTCAAACAGGAAACACCAATCACAGTAGTTTCTTACGTAACATCTCATCTTTACTGACTGTAACATGTGAGAATCTCTGCTCCTGCAGCAGTATATCATTGAAATGCCAGTGAACATAGCCCTGCTCATATTGTCATGTCTCCAACCCAGCTGCATTGTCTTTACATATATGCCGGCAGGTGGCATGAGTAGTCATGTGGTTGCTGTGTGATCTAAATATGGCTGCATAAACCATAGTGGGTGGGTGGGGGTACAGATGATAACAAGATGTAGAGAGGAGAAATAGGCAAATAACAGATACGCATATACATACACACACTTATTTCAGTGATAGTGTAACAATATTACAGACAACACATCATCAATAATTTTTAGATGAATCCTTACTCAGTCTGTTTGTGTGTTTGCATCAAGTAGCTTGACTTTGTGTCTTTTCTAATCTCAAACACACTCGCACAGACTCAGCAGAGGTCTGGTTTGACAAGGTGTGTGTGTGTGTTTGTGATCAGGGCCACTCCTCCTCAGTCACTCTTCCTTTAATGAGGACACATACACACATACACGTACACAGGCTGGATCAGAGCGTCCCTGCAGGGAGCAGCAACCAGGGCAAAGTGAAATGTCACTTCTGCAAGAGATGGGGGAGCTGGTTTGTTGTTATGGCAATAGCCAACAGAGTGGTAGCATAGTTTTCTGCATCCTTCTTTCTCTTTTCTTCTACTATTCCATCTCTATTTAGTTAGCTGAAAGCGCTAGCTGCTGAAGCTAAAACAAGAAGTAGAGAAAATCCCAGCTGGATTTAACTAGAGCTTTAAACTGGTGGCCTTTTACTGCTTGAGGTAGTGTTGTTAGCCCTTCCGCTTTACCCCCATCATCATGTCACTCAGCTTTACAAGATGTTAACTGATGCCATGGGAGCTAAACAGGCAAGCATAAATCGCAGCCAGTCCTCAAGTAAGGTGTGTTCACATGTAGTGATGTTTTTATCACCTCTGCTACCACATAGTGTCTCCAGAGGACTGATGACAAGCCACGCACAATGCAACACTTTTTCAGAAAGTAGCATACTGTAGTTTCTTTTGTTTATCTTTGGCAGATCACAACCAAACTGTCCTGCTGTAGAGAACCGTATTAGAGGTCTCTGGGTTTGTAAGGGAATGGAAATACAGGTCCCATCTGATGGGTTCCCTAAAATTTTCTTTTCTTAGAGGAAAAAAAGAGAATTCCAAAAGAGCAGTAAGGAAAATTATAGAATTTATCGGGTTTAAGGGGTATTATAGATATGCTGGATTAACACAGGGGATTTACAGCGTAGTGGATTCACCTACTGATGAGCAGCACAACAGGTTGTTCTTCAACTGTATTCCCCGAAAAAAATAATTAAATGGTTTCGGACTGGGAATACACTCAGTGTGATTTGCTGGGGGGCAGTCTACATGTTCTTGCCTCTGCTGAATTATTTTTACCCCTGGTGGAGATAAATTTCTCCCCAAGTGATTTTTTCTAGAGTGTGAACAACAATAACATCACAAATGGACTTTCACTGACTTTCCTTTGATAGTTAAGCTCAAATGGCAAATGGGAGCTACCTTGAGCCATACCTAACTTTTCATTATGCCACTGAGCACCAATAGATTGTCCCACCATGGAAATTGCAGCTAGATGATTGAAAGAAAACAACAAATGTTCATATTTTACAGCACCATCAAAATTCTAGAAATATAATTACTGAGTCATCATCAGTCAGTTATTTTCCCATGAAGGTGATACGTAAAAGATGGACATCATGTAGGGCTGCTACTTTCTGCTAAGCCTTATATGAAGAGCATTTCAGTAGTACTGTACTGTATTGATGGCTTATTGGCTTTGCCACTGATGGCGAAGCGTTACAGAAGAGCAACCACCCTGGTAACTTTCATTTAAAGCATGAGTCACAAGTTAGAACTTTTTCTCTGGGATGATCTAAAAAACAGTAAAAGGCAGGAGTCATTTTACGATACAGTCTAATTATTTACTTTGTGTAGTTGTTTTGTTTTTGTCAAATTCCAAAAGCTTGCTGTTTGTCACAGTATATGGACTAGGGGTTGCTTCCTTCCCTGTTCAGTGTTTCGTGCAAGATTTGCACAGATGAACCCTTCACAGAGGTATGTCACTAAAATAGATAATTTTGTTAGTGTGATAAGGATTTATCCTTCCATCCATTTGATACTGCTCATCCAGGCAGCAGGCTAAGCAGAGAAGCCCAGACCTCCCTCTCCCCAGCCACCTGGGATTCTCTCCAGCATGTCCGGAGTCTGCCCCAGGGTATCCTCCTAATAGGCCATACCCAGAACCCCTAACCCAGGAGGCACCTTGGTGGCATCCTAATCAGATGTTCGAACCACCTCAACTGTCTCCTTTTGATGTGCAGGGAGTAGCAGCTCTACTCTGAGTTCCTTCCTAATAACTGAACGTCTCATCGTATCGCTAAGACTGAGTCCAGCCAACCTCCAGCCTTCAGAGAAAACAAATTTCTCTTGATTTATCCACAATAGTATTCTTTTGGTCATTACCCAAACCATGTGACCGTAGGTAAGGGACATCGACAGATCGACAGGTAAATCACCAGCTTTCCTTATATGATCAGCTCTCTCTTCACCATGACAGACTGGTACAGTGTCAGCATCATTCCAGATGCTGCACTAATCCAACTGTCAATGCCCCAATCCCCTTGCCCGTCATTTTCGAACAAGACTCCGAGATACATGGAGTCCTCCACTTTGGTCAGCAACAGCAACTCATCCCTGACCCGGAGTGGGGGACTCCACATTTTCCAGCTGGGGATGATGGCCTCGGACAGCTTCTCATCCCTGCTGCTTCACACTTGGCTGCAAAGCACTCCGGTGTAAGCTGAAAGCCACCATCTGATGAAGCCAACAGAATTATGTTATCTGCAAAAATCAGAGACAAAATCCTTGGGCCACTAAAGTGGAAGCCTTCTGCCACCTGGCTGCGCCTAAAAATGAACACAATGTTTGGGCAACCCTGGCAAAGTCCAACACCCACCAGAACTGAGTCTTACTATGGCCAGCAATATAGATCGGAAACACCACCCCAGTCTGCCAGTCCAAAGGCGCCATTTCAATGTTATGTTGCTGAGGTGTGTCAACCAAGACAGCTCTACAACATCC